TCCCTTCTGACCCAAAACTTTCTATGATTCTATGATTCTATGATTTAGGTGTTATATAGTGCTAAAACAATAACTGTATTTCAGTACACGTACTGGTTAAAGTGATCAGGTTTAAATATTATACAAAAGCTTTTAATTTTAATCTTCAGCACTAAAACATCAGTGTGCTCGTTGTTGTTTTCCATTCATTGTCCAGTTAGGCTCTGTTGTAGTTACTAAGGGTGTTGTTAAACAGCTTTTTTTTCTGGATGCTGGTTGCAGTTACGGATGACAGCAACGTGAAGACTCCCAAGAGGTGCCCAGGGTGAAAATCACTTTGTGCCAGAAGTGCCAGGGAGGTGTCAGTGTCCTGTTGCATGGGGTTACCTGGCAGCTACACTGCCTGCTGCAAGTGTTACCATTGTACAGGGCCTACAGTTTGGCTTTGGTGGGGCAGTGGGCATTTGACTATAATATCTGATTTGATTTTTTTTCTGCCCAAACACTGTCTCTGTTCAATGCCAATCTCCTCCAAATGAAGGGAAGTGCCCAGCCTGTTCCCTTTTAGAAGTCAGCATTCTGAGCAATAGCGAATGCTGAGAAACCTCTCTATGTGTGTAATCTCTCTTCTTCTTTTTCTGCAGTATTCTTTCCTTTTTTGTATTGTCAGATTTCTATAAGGACTCGCAACACAGAGGAGAAAGAATGGAAATAACACATTTTGCTATGCAGGAGAATTCTGTCTGTTGTGGTTAGTGCTCCACGCTGAACCCTTCTCATTTATGCCAAAACCATTTTAGTATGAAACAAAACTTGACACGTTCCAGCCTTTGTTATTTGGCATACAGGGTCTTTTTCTTGCAAACTTGTCCCGTTTGAGGGTTGGGGAGTATTCTGTGTTACTTTCTTATCTTAAATTATGACTTATAATACATACTGAACAGATACTACACTATTAACAGTGTTAAATGTAGTTCCAGACAGTTCATTTAAACATTCTTTTTGCAAGTATTTATGAATTTAGTTCAGTTTTGCATTCCAAATACTTTTGACTTTTGTAACACTTCTCGAAGAGCTTGGAGTTAAGCCTGTAAGTCTTTTCAGTCTTTGAAATTGTAGGCAATACGTTTGTATGTACATATGAGTTTATAAAAGCAATTATATGCTGCTGTTTTCAGAGTTACTCTTGGCTACAGTGAAAAGAAGTAGTGGCATTACTGGGTATAGTTTTGAGAGGAAATTAGTTCTAAATTTACCTGTTCTCAAGTACCATCATATAAAGCCTAAACTCAGTGTGCTGCATTGACAGTATTCTCCATGAACACTTGGAAATTATCATGAGCCTTTCATACTCCTCTTGGAACCGAAAGTTAAATAAATGCACTAGAAAAAGATAAACTGAATAATATAAAGGGCTGAAGGACTCGAAATCAAAACAGGGAACAGAATGTACTTTGCATAAAGAAACAGATTTTACTGAGGAAGCGATAACCCTCTGTGACTATTTAGTGGAAAAACTGTGAGAAGAAATTTAATTTTCAGATGTTTGTATTGGAACTTGCTTATAGACTGAGTACAGCAAAGGCACTTAATTTTAATTTGAACTCCTCTGCTAAGAATAGAAATGCCACGATTGGGCAGTATGCAGTATCCTAATAGTATTCTCTAGAATCTATTGTATACCACTGTAAGACTTTTTCTTTTTAAAGTATATTTAAAGGCCAATTTTGTTTGGGATGCTAATATTTTCTAAAGTATGTCTTGAAAGTACTAGTTGGCTCTATTACACAAATGTTGGGGGTTTTCCCAAGTATTCTCTGTTTTCTGATAGCATTTAGTGATCTTTGCTTTCCTGCTGGTGAACAACAAGACAATTTTGGGGCGAGCAGTGCAGCTCCCTTTTGAAGGAGATGTCTTCAAACAGTTAAATGAATGTCTCTAGTGTGGCTGTTCAGTATGAGATAAATGGATTTTCATTTAAACATAAGACTATTGTTAGTGCAACTAGAAAGAAGTGGTTCACAACCCTGGGTATGAGCCAGCACAGATGGGATCATCCACTTCCAAGTCACCTGGGAAAGTTCCTCCCTGATTTGGTGCCTGTGGTCCACAGCAGCGGTGTGACTCGTGTAAGACATGGCAGCATTTTGCTTGGGGACTGTGGAAAAGCATTGCTTATGTGTCTTTGTTGGGTTACAGTGAGCAAGCTAGCTGAACTTAATGTAAACTGACTGTAAAGCTCATGGGTGAGTTCATTTCTCTTGTGACTTGGTCTGCTTTGATGAAAGGCTGATGTCCAGTCACGCAGTCGTGCACTGTTAATGCCAGATGCTGCTTCAGCAGCTCCGGCTCCCCCAGACAAGTGCTGCTGCCGACTGGCGAGGTGGTGACCCTCTGCTGTGATGAGAGTTGAAGTGGGGGCAGAGTCACTGCGGGAGAGTCCCTGCTCTTCAGCATGCAGTTCATCTGTGCGGTTCGACACCGAAGCAGGATGCGGTGCATGGATTTGGCCGAGTGCCAGTCCTTAGGGATAAATGTGGAACAGCAGACTGACAGAAGAGACAGTTGGGGGGGAACTGGCTAACGGACCTCAGTGTTATCCAAGACAGACCAAGAAAACTACATTTCCCTGAGCTGTTTCAGACACACACACAGAGATGCTGTTTATGTAGAAATGTTACCGATAATTGAGACCTGCCATTTAATCTGATAATTTCAGGACTGGTATATTGCTTGCATCTGTTTTCAGGTCAGTGCATTTCTGAAAAAGACACAGTTTTGTTGTTGTCTTTATACTGTAAGTGTTGTATGTAAAAAATGATATTTTGTAAAAGTATTAAAAATAGAACTGAAAGTAATACAGTAAAACTAGTTTAAAGACTCTGTTGGTTTAAAAAAAAAAAAAAAGATAGATGTCATGATATTGTGTTTAGCCAAAACAAGAAGAGGAAGAAGAGGATTTTTATCTGCTCTGTAAAGTTACAGGTGCTTTATCTGTACAGAATTACGCTTCAGATGAAGAAAGGAGAAAAGCAGTATTGTAGATGGATTATCATATGAAGTGTGAACTGTGCACTTCAGAACATCTTGTTCGTTTCATAAAAGCAGATAAATTTTTGGGAGCCCTTTCCAGGAGAGTTTAACTTTCCCACATTGAGGCTGCATACTTCAGCAATTTCTACAGTCTGGATGATAACCAAAATAACAGTTCTGTGTTACTATAGAATTATTTCCTGTAATAGTAACTTTTAAAAGATTTCCAGCAGCTTTGTAAAGTCAACAGATCATTCAGAAGCTGGAACTAGGAGTCTTTGGTAGGATTTCCAACTACTTGTTGTGTATTCTTTGTGGAAGACAGTCATTCTCTTGAGGGGCTGTGGTATTTATTAGACATCAGAATTTTGCTTAATGTGTAAAAATAATCATAGTTGATAACTGTTTGGTGGTACTTACCCCTTTCTTGAAGGGGGACCTAGAGTCATTGCTTTTTATTGTTCTTTGGCATAAGTAAAAGGAGTAGCTCTGTGTATAAGTGTTTATTTACTGAGAGCTGACTTAGAATACAAAAGTAATGCCATTCTGGCCGTCCCACAGATGAGTCATCTTAGGGTGAAAACACACTCTGAATATGAAGTTTTTGTAAGATACTGAATGTGAAGTTCTTGTAAGATACTAATGTGGAAGGAGCTTAGGCTTTTTAGTGCATAAATGAATTTGCTAGTGTCATGGGTATTAGCCCTTGCCGTGCAGTGAAAGAAATTGATCTCAGTTCATGGGTCTGTGCTCTGTATTTTCCCAGGACATCCATCTATTGGCTTAGTTGAAGACCATTTTCTAAGAATTCTTAAATCGATACCTTTTAATTTTACAAGCTTCAAAACCAGGCTTTATTTCAGTGTTTGTAAAAGAATTTGAGACTATTATAGATTCGAGTTGTTCTGAGACTTTTAATTTTCTTTGTGTTGTTGTTAAATACTGTACTGTTACTTGAAGAACTCATCTGTGTACAGAAAAGCTTGCAACAGACCAAAGTTGGCACCTTTAGGCCAGCATAATGATTCAGGGTAGCTGGAATTCAGAGAATGACAAGTGTTCAATATATTTCAAAATGTTATATGCACTGAAGTAGTGAGTGCATAGATTCAGGTGGCAATGGATGACTGAATGTGGGCCCCTCCAAATCTGATATTCCATTTTGCACACACGAGTGGCTCCAGGAATGCTTGTGAAATCTGTCTTTCATTAACAGCTGTGCACTGTTCTTCATTGCTAATTCATCGTCAGCTTTTGCTTAATGCATATAGAATGCTATGGAGGTGTTAGCGATACTTTTCAAAATAAAGCCTTGCAAAAAAAGACACTCTGAAGGATTTTGTTCCGAAGTTTTCATTCTGAGATATATCAACTTCATTTTTTACTTCCTCTACCATTAAATCTCATATACAATTGAAGGGGAATTGGTTAAGAGGAAGAACTTCCTTCCCTTGAACATTTTGCTGAAAGTATTAGTATCAACGTGGATTATTAGAGCCTGAAGATCAGATCTTAATCAGGAATTCTATAAAGTAATCAGTTCTGGATGGAATTTTTGTTCTATTTGATAACATGTATTTGTACTCAGCTTTCTTGCACTTGTGTCAGCACTTCCCCCCCCCCCCAAAAAAGATCAAATGGGATGAGAGTTTGAGCTGTTTGGAGAATCTATGTAATTACTGTTAAGGAGATTTTCATGGTGCTTGATAGTGATAAAGCACAGAAGACTTATTCCCAGCTTAGCGTGAATTTAGAGATAAAGGTTTAGAACAAAAAGAAGACCCTGTAGTAGGCAATGAAAACCCTTGCCCTTTAGTAGTTGATGCTAAAAAAGAAAAAACATTACCCACAATTTAGGGAAGTTATCTTGCACTGCTAGCTAGAGAGGATTATTTATATTTTTGGAGAATATCTACTTGTGTATTACGTTTGAGTTTTCTTGTATTTGTGTCTGATACAGCCAGCACTTTCTGTTTTTTCTGTTTCAGCACCCAAAGACAATGAGGAACGTGTGTTCCGGGAACGTATGCGCCCCAGAAAACGGCAGGGTGCTGTGCGACGCAGAGTACATCAGGTTAATGGACACAAGTTTATGGCCACCTATCTTAGACAACCAACGTATTGTTCGCACTGCAGAGATTTTATATGGTATGACTTTGCTTTCTTTGCAACTTTGAATTGAAGAGTTAACATACCCTCTTCCTCCTAGGAAACACCAAGCTCCTATACATCCTACTGAAGTTAATGAAATATGGGAATATTAGGCTTCTAATGATCCAGGGGTTTGGGTGCTCAGTGTACAGCGTCTTTCTCATTACAGTGTATGTTGAGAACTCTCTTTTAGAAATTATTTGCTTTAGTTTTGAGTACTGTCAATTTTCAGGTAGGAAAAAGTTGCGGAGACATTCAGTTTTCAGATATTTTTGAGCAACTCTGTTGATGTTTTCCAAAGTTACCTAGAGATACTGATTTGCACCGTAATACACATAGGAGCTGATGTGATCCGTAATTAATATTTCTGAAGTGTATGTAATACAGCAGTCTTTCTTACTGTGAAATGATGTGAATTGTACATGAACTCAACTACATTCCTCTAAGAAATGTCTGCAGGTTAGGCTTTAGGTTAGCTAAGATGATTTCAAGCAATAATATTGGCCAATGCCATCTTCTGTCTATTTAGAGGCCTTCTTGATGACTATTTTACCAGCTCGTGGCTTCCCTCTCTATGTACCCTTTGGCTTTGCCTATTTTATGATCCTATATGTGTCTTTACTTCTGAATCCCTTCATGGCTTATCTTCCTACCTGTTACCTCTTAGCAGCTGAAATGCGGTTCCTACTTTGAAATTATCTCGGTCTAGGCATGCAGTTATCAGATGGTTGGTTATAAGAAGCTGTTCTTCTAAACTTGTGCATGTCTAGTAAAGAGAGGAAAAATTTTTGTTTTTCATTTTAAAATATACATATTCTTCATTTTCTAAAATACTGTTTTATTTTCAGGGGTGTGATAGGAAAACAGGGATACCAATGTCAAGGTAAGAGAAAATCTACATGGGGATAGTTTGAACATATGTGTTATGTTACAATATGTAAATAATAAGATATTTTCATCAAGCATTATATAGGTACCGTATTAAGAATTTAGCACAAGGTGATCAGAGCAAGTTTGTCTCTCCAAACATACAGTCTTTGCAGTAAGTGTGGTGAGTTGACCCTGGCTGGATGCCAGGTGCCCACCAAAGCTGCACTATCACTCCCCTCAGCTGGGCGGGGGAGAGAAAATGTAATGAAATACTCCTGGGTCCAGATAAGGACACAGAGAGATCACTCACCAATTAGTGTCATGGGCAAAACGGACTTGACTTGGGGAAAATAATTATTTATCACCAATTTGATCAGAGTAGGATCATGAGAAAATAAACTAAATCTTAAAACACCTTCCCCCCACCCCTCCCTTCTTCCCTGGCTTAACTTGACTCCGGATTTTCTCTACCCTCCCCCCTCCCCAACCGAAGCGGTGCAGGGAGACAGGGAATGGGGCTTGCGGTCAATTCATCACACATTGTTTCTGCTGCTCCTTCCTCCTCACTCTCTTCCCCTGCTCCATCATGGGGTCCCTCCCACAGCAGACAGTCCTCCACGAACTTCTCCAGTGTAAGTCCTTCCCGTGGGCTGCAGCCCTTCAGGGACAGACTGCTCCAGTGTAGGTCCCCCATGGGGCCACAGGCCCTGCCCGCAAACATCCTCCAGGG